GGTATGCGATTCTTCTGGCTTATGCTTCACAGCTCACCACCAAGCCTCCACCCTACTGCACCATTACAAAGTTTACCTGCTCATAAGTTGCTTGTGAAATGCAGGTTGCAGTTTTGCTATCTATATTTGTAAATAACCTTACAGACGACACTCTACCATTTCGCGAGGTTGCTTTGAAGGCAGTTGGCACGATGGTTTCCTACTTAGCCTAAAATGCTAGTAGGGCGCTGTATAGTGGGGAAATGGCGAAAGAACGGAGTGAAACGGTCAATCCTGCGAAGAAAAAGCCTCCGTTCTCAGTGACTTGTAAATCGATTTCGGACGAGTTTCCCGTAGGCATCTTACCAATCACCGCTACCGAAGATACGGCTGCATATGTGTACCCATACATGCTTGCATACCAATCCTTCGCTTCATATTTTACTTAGCAAATGAAGCAATACGAGCGTCAGGAACGGTCGTCCATTTGTGGGCGGGCGGGCGTGGCGGGCGTTTGGGACGTAAAGTTGTGGCTTGATAGGGCCCTTATAAGGGCACCTTCCTCGGGGAAACCGCTATGCAGCGCCTGCCCAGGGTCGCGGAATTCTATCCTGCCAGGAGTATTGATCCTAGTCGTCTTGGGGGATTTATCGTGCCAACTGCCTTTAAGTTGTCGCCGTTCATCTATCCCCATTTTGGAATGAGGCATGCATGCTATTTCATTCAGAATCGCGTCTGCTTATTGAATGCGATGAGGCCTTTACAGTGACTTCCGGGCCATGTACAAGGTAGTGTTTCCTATTTCCCTAGACGAAAAAGGTACCGTACAGCTCTTGATTAGCCTAGGCGAGCTTTGAACCTTACAGCATGCGCGTGATGAGTAATTGGGCTTCTTGGCACCACCTTTTTGGTATGTACATGAGAACATGCTCCTCACGTCCGTTGTCGTACCAAGGGAAGAACTGTGCCGGCTAGCGGCTCGCGTAACATTCAGTCGTGACTTTCAACCAGCATATGCTCAGCTTTTGCTCAAAGACACGCACCGGGTTTATTTGATGCTCAGGCGCCTTCGTTGGAGATGGTGGTCCTGCCTGTAAGCATGAAGAGCTAGTTTTGTACTACTTTTGCAGCTCAAATCACATGAAAGCGCCGCTCGCGCGCGACGGGGGCACGGCTCCGCTCACTGGCCAAGGCGACGTCCAACTTGCGTTTTTCACTGTTGCCTGGTGAGGTACAGGAGGCACCGACGAATGAGAACTCGTCCGACCAGGCCCCTTCTTTGCCTTATGCGCATACAGGCGCGGTTCAGCCTGAGGTTCTATCTGAGACATTTTCAGCGGGCTTCTTCGCTGCAGGATCGCCTTCTACCTTTTCATCTATAATCAAGCCACACAACTCCCATTTTTGAACTTGGGTGTGGCTTTGAGTCAAAACTTTAATTGGATTTAATTATGGCACAGAAAGAGGTTGTTATGGCTTCCATTCTGATCGATAGGAATGTGTCTGGGCCTCGTAACTCTCGTTCTGACTCGGTCTTAGATAGCTCATGGTTCATCTTTGAAACTACGTCATATCGTACTTCATTAACCTGTCCGTGCGTTACCATCATAAACTTGATTGATAGATGCTGACTAATTATTAACTATAGGGAGCATCAGATGTTCACATCATTCAGGACGAAAATG